GCCTCGAGCAGCGCCTGCTTCTTCTGCGCGCTGCGGGAGGACTCGAGCTCGTACATGGTGGTCAGGTTGAAGAGCACGCTCTCGTGCAGGTAGTGCCCGGGCTCCTGCTGCACCAGCGCCTCCAGCTGCCGCAGCGAGTCCTTGAGCCGGCCCAGGTACAGCAGGCACACGGCCGCGTTGTTGTTGGCCTGGAGGACGGGCGTCAGGACTGCTGTGCCCGGGCGTGCGGGCCGGGACCCCCACCCCCTCAGAGGATGGGCGTCAGGACTGGGGCTGTGCCTGGGGCATACAGGGGTGTGCAGGGCCGGGGTCCCCACCCCCCATGGCCACCGCCCGGGCCAGAGGGCTGGACAGGGGCCTGCAGGTGTGAGCCCACATCTGCCGAAGCGCCTTACCACTGCATTTGTGGGGTCAATCTTTAAGATCTCTGTGAAGAACCTGTGGGCTTCTGCGAAGTTATTCTGGCCGAGGTGAAGGAAAGCTCTGCGACAGAAGCGACAGTAAAGTGTCAGCCTCCCAGGGCAGCGGCACGGGCGATGTTCGCCCTCAAGTGTGACCTTGAGCCGCCTGGGACGGTGACCTCCAGCCGGACAGTGAGTGCCGCCGCTGGCCCATAGCTCGCATTCTGGATAGAAAGTAAGGTGCTGGGAGCACCCGCCTTGCCCTCCCCTCCTCTCCCTGGCGTAGTCATTACCTTACCTTCTTTCTCCTAAGCTCCAAGGGCCCTCCTTTGCCTCTGTAACTTTCTAAATAAACTTTCACTTAAAAAAGCGGCCTAACCGTTCTTAATCGCAGCGTGGCTCTGCACCTACACTTCCTGCTGTAAACAGTCCTGCCTCAGCTTCTCTCTGCTCCCGAGGGGGTATCACCGGCCTCACGGTGCTGTGGGTGTTGGCCCGTAAGAGCCGCCCTGGGACACAGCGGTGCTATGGGTGTTGGCCCGTAAGAGCCACCCTGGATACAGCGGTGCTATGGGTGTTGGCCCGTAAGAGCCGCCCAGGAACACAGCGGTGCTGTGGGTGTTGGCCTGTAAGAGCCACCCCGGGACACAGCGGTGCTGTGGGTGTTGGCCCGTAAGAGCCGCCCCGGACACGGCGGTGCTGTGGGTGTTGGTCCGTAAGAGCCACTCCGGGACACAGCGGTGCTGTGGGTGTTGGCCCGTAAGAGCCGCCCCGGGACACAGCGGTGCTGTGGGTGTTGGCCCGTAAGAGCCACCCCGGGACACAGCGGTGGGCGCTGGGGAGAGTACATACAGATGCTAATTTATGTGAAAAATGGGGGCAATGTGAGCACTCTGAAAAACAAAGAAAAATGCTTAAAGTCAATTCTTGCAGCTAAAAGAATGACTGTGATTCAAGAAAACCCGTCCACTCCTGGGGCTGTGACTTGTTCCGGTTCTGAGACCTGGACAGGGGGCTGCGTCCCCTGAGGGCTGTGCGCGCCGGGAGCTGCGGGAAACACTGTGTGAACTCCGTACCTGTTCATCAGCACCATCATCTTCCCCTGCGGCCCGTCGAGCTTCTGTGTCACTTTCTCCACGTCCTGAAAATACTTCTCGGCCGTTTTTATGTCTCCAATCTGCTCTGACAGAGTCACCAGTCAGTTCAGGTGGCAAGTCTGCAGCCACGCACAGCTCAGCGCCTGGTGTCACGTCATGAAGACGTGCATGTCGAGCAGGGGGACTCTAACCACTCGCTAAGTATCACTTCCTGCTAAAGCTGCCGGAGACGGTGGGATGGATGCAGTGGGTGGACTCCCTGCGGCCGAGTCAAACCTAACACGTGGGCCACGCTAGACGCACGGTCTGCAGTCTATACTTTCTGAAAGAATCTTGGCATAGCAGCAGTTACACAGAATAAAAATAAAATTAAAGACTAAAAATTAAAGGTATAACAGGGACAGTTTGAACTGTGGCAGCCCCATCGATCTTTCTGGTTGTCTGTGACCAGTGAAATGACAGACACTCACTCCCCGTGCGCTTGGGCCCTTGAGTTCTTTGTCCCACAAGCTAACTTCTCGGTTGTGCCTTAGCTGCCAGAGTCCCTGGGGACGGTCAGTGACCCCGGCCTTCCCCACGCGCCTTCGCGGGCAGTGCCCACCTGAAGGAAGATGCGGCCGATGCCGCTGAGCAGCTGCGGCTCCTGCTCGGGGTGGAACTGGATGACGGAGCGGTAGGCGTCCACGGCCAGCACGTAGTCCTGTGGGGAGCAGCGGCTGTCAGGTGAGGACAGGGCTCTGCCCAAGGCCCCGTGGACCCCGTGTGGAGGACACGGGAACACATGCATGGCAGGAAGCAGGAGGCCCAGCAGGAACCCCCGCCCACCCAGGGCGCCTGCCTTGCCCGCCTGCAGGCCTCTGTGAACCTAAGGGGAGGCAGTGCCATTTAAAGAGTGAGGTGAGCCCTGGCTGGTGCTCAGTGGTTAGAGCATTGGCCTGTGCACAGAAGCTCCCAGGTTAGATTCCTCGTCAAGCAAGCACCTGGGTTGCAGGTTCATTCTCCGTCCAGGTCGGGAGGCAACCAATTAATGTGCCTCTCGCACACTGAGGTATCTTTCTCTCTCCCTCCCTCCATCTAAAGCAATGGAGAAATACTTTCAGATGAGGATTAACAAACAACAACAAAGTGAGGTGAGCCCTGGGAGTGGCGTCCTGTGCACCAACGGCTGTGGGTTCCATCCCTTGGAGGCAACCGATCGATTCCTCTCTCTCACACTGATGTTTCTCTCCCTCAAATCAATGAACATATCCTCAGGTGAGGATAAAATGATAATAAATAAAATAAAGTGAGAGGAGGACTCTCCCAGCCCCGTGACACATGGCTGTGTGGGCGGGCGTATGCAGACACTCGGCGGGAGCACACGAATACATTTCTCATCGTTGAAACGTTGAATTAATATTTATTCTCTGTCATAGAAATGTTATTCAAAATCATTAAATGCTGAGGACATAACCCTGTTAGCCCACACACATCACTTAGCTCACATGACACCACGCGGCAGACCCCAGGCCTGCGCTGCCGGGCACGGCCACCAGATGGACGCGGAAAGCACGAGCCTGAGCGGCCATGACTGCAACAAGGGTCCCTCTTTAACCCGGGAAGGAAAGGCTAAGCTGCAGTTCCAACCCCACCTTCACCTGACAGCGTTCTGAAACCCAGCACCGTGCTCTGTGCCGACACCGCCCACACCCCACCTGCGGGCAGGCAGGAGGCACCTTTGTGCCGAGGTATTATGACGATGCAACAAAGAAACGCATTTTCATCCCATAATTTTCGGTTCATGTCTTAAAATGCAGAAAAGCCGCGAGTGTGGGAACAGTGCCTCCCTCCTGTGGGTTTAGCCCACGGTGAGCGCAGTGTCTGCCTGTGACCTCACGGCTGTGCTGGTTTCTCTACGCTGGGACTTCCCGCGGAGCTGACAGGGCCACAGGGCGGGGGCAGCAGGGTCAGAGCGGGACAGGGGTGGGGAGTGGCCTGTGGAGGGCAGAGGGGCAGGACCGCAGCCTCGGGGAGCAGCTGGTCACTGCGGAGCTGGGCTCGGGGCCACCTCCCTTCTGCCCACACGGCCCAGGGCAGGTGCGGCTGAGGTGTGAGGGGACAGGGACAGGACCACCAAGGCCGGCCGCCGGCCTCTGAGGACACGTGAGCCTGAAGGGAAACGGCTGTGAGTGACAGCGCTCCTCACCCCCACCCCCACCCCAACCCGTCCTCACCCCGCGCTGGGGCTGGAGGCTCCCCGGGATATGAGGGGCACTGCAGGGTCACTGCACCCCAGTGGCATACACGAAGGGGCACAGAAGGTGGGCCTGGCACAGGGACCGCTGTGCTGGCTCCTCCAGCGGGTCCCAGCCACACCTCTGTGACAGCGGAGGAGCGGCTGTGGCTCTGAACTTACCCCTGCTCCCAGCCCTCCCCGAGCCCACACGGAGGGTCCACGGCTACATCGCGGTGGCCCGCAGGCATGGGGCGCCATCGTCACACTCCTCCACTCCGTAAACGGCCTGCCCACCTGCACTGCAGCTCGGAATGACCTTGGGGGCCGTGGGGGAGGCCCCACCGCTCATCGGGGCCCAGGCGTGGACAGCGAGGCTGCTGCCTTGTGGCTGATGGGTTCCTGCAGCCGCTTCCTCAGCCCCTGAGCAGGTCACCCTGGGGCAGGTGTGAGCCGGGCGGGGGGTGGGAGGGCGATGGGGAAGGGGCTGCAGGTCCCCATACAGGGAGAGGCCCCAGGACAGGCTGTGAGCTGCAGGGCCTGCCCGAGGAGGGGACTGGAGGAGACAGCACCCCCCACCCCCGTCCCAGGTGCAGCCTGGCCGTGCCCTGTGGTTGGTAGGCTGTCCCCTGGGCCGGGGCGCAGTGTCCTGTCCTGGCACCCAGCCAATCACCCGTCGAGGAGAAGGCCCTCTCCCACAGGAGCACAGAGCCACCTTCCGGGCGAGCGCAGGGAGAGCACGGGGACCGAGTGGGGGCAGCCCACTGGTGTGAACCATGATTTAAACTGAATCACCAGACCCACGTTTAACAATACTCGGGACGAGGAAAACTCTCCGTTCTGTGGAATTTCTCGCACAGAAGTCACAGCACGTGGAGTGTGTTCCCGCTGTGTGGACCCTCCGTGTGCGCCCAGCCCCACGCACCTTCATCAGGAGCAGGCAGTTGGCCATGGAGCAGGTCACCCGGCCCAGGCGGGACCGCCACAGCTGCACGGAGGCTGCAAGAGAGGGCGGTGAGTGAACACGGTGCTGGGGTGGAGCCCGCTCACCCGAGGCCGTCCATGGAAGGGACACAGCAGCAGAGGGCAGGGCTCTGCCTTGGGGGGCAGACCACAGGGCCAGGGCCAGCGTCAGCACCCCGAGAACTCCTCACCGTGAAATGGGGGGAAGGGGGGGAAGGCCTGCTGCCCATGGCCTGTGCAAGGCGCCCCATGTGGTCAGCACTGGGCTCTGCCTTCCCTTCAATGGAAATGTTCTCCAGTTAATTCACTTATTCACTATTACACGCTTTTTAGAAAAATTGTATTGAATTTATTTGGTTTCATATGTACATTTCTATAACACATCATCTGTGCATGGATCCAAAGTCAAGTCTTCCCTTCCACCCTCTCCTACCTCCCCCACCCCTTTCCCTCTTGTAATCCCTGGAGGATGTACACATCCACCCGCCTGGGTCCAGAGGGGCAGCCTGGGCCTGCCCTTTCTCCCATCTCTTCACAGAGTCCCAGGCCGAAGGACCCTGGGAGCTGCCCTGGGATGATGGAGGGCTGATTAAGGGACAAGGAAAGGGGGTGAGGCCACAGAACCAGCGGGCTGCGCGCCGAGAGCCCCGGGAGCTGCGCAGGAGGGAAGCCGTACGGACCTTGCCTGTTCTCGGGCGAGATGCTGCTCATGCTGCCGTCCTCGGCCAGGCCTTGCTCCAGGTGGGCCAGGATCTGCAGTCAAAGGAGAACAAAGCCCTGCAGGTGGGCCTGGGCCGTCCCACCTGCCCCCCGGGAGCCACTTTCTCCCGAGAGCCGGGCCTCAGGACCTTTCCCACACACCCCGTCCCGCTCGCTGCCCAGCACCCAGGTGGCGGCCACCTGCAGCGCGCAAGGCTCGGAAGTAAAAGGACGAGATGACCTTGAACCGCCCCCACTCCACCACCACACGGTGGTGTCTTTCCTTCAGTGGGTCTGCCGCCTGCGCTGAGACCGTCCCGGGGTCGGGCTGCTGGCGGCTGCAAGTTAGGGTTACGTCACCGTCCCCCACCTGGGGCTGTGGGGCTGCACCCTCCAGGAACCCCATACCAGTTCCCCCAGAGCAGCTGGGACTGAGAAGGCCCTGAGATGCAACCTCATTTCTCTAACAGCCAGAAGCTGCTGCTCCTGTTGGCGTGCTGTTCTAGTCTGAGGGCAGCTCCGCACACGAGCTCCACCCCAACCGCGTGCATCATGGCGGGCAGGGGGCAGGCCTGTGAGAACTCTGAGGACCAGCGCTGGGAGGCAGGCGGCGGCCTGGGAACGGAGCACTGGCCCCCAGGTCTTCCTAACGTCACCAATGGAACGATCTCACCGCCACACAATGTTACTTCCCAACCCAGGGCGATTCGGGGGCGATTCGGGGGGCACTCCGGCCCGACTGTCCTGAGTCAGGGGTGCAGGTGGCAGGGTCAGGGCGATGTGCCTGGGCTCTGGGACCTCAGACCATTGTCTAACGCTGCCCGGGGCCTGCTTGGCAGCAGCAGGCGCTCAGGGCACTGCAGGAGCCGAGGGCCTGGCACGCGTCCGAGCTTCCCCAGTGCCTGGGCACAACTCGCAGGTGACTTCTACGAGAGCTCTCCTGCTTCACCCACAATGCCACTAAAGACCGAGGACTTCAGGACTCCAGCTCCCCAAGCCTGCCCCCTGCCCGCCATGATGTCAGCGAGCAGACAGCACAGGGTCCCAGCAGGCCAGGCCTGCCTTCCTGAGGCGGCAGGGGCGACAGCGGGCACGGGGGAGGGACGGGGGACGGGAGCCTACCTGGCTGCAGACAGCCTTCACCCGGTGCAGCCGGTCCAGTGACTCCTGCGGGTTCCCCAGGTACTGCTGCAGCTCCGCGTGCAGGATGCGCATGGAGAAGGGGACCATGGAGCCTGCGGCCAAGGCCAGAGCGTCAGCCGGTGCCGTGAAGAGCACGCCCTGCCCCGCGCACGCATGCGAGCTGTGCAGACCCCCACAGCGGGCACCACAGGACCGCCTGGCACCGTCAAGTTCCCCATGGTGCCCGCTGCAAGCATGTTCTAGCATGTCCTAGTAAGCATGCTCCAGGCATCAGAGGGCCAGGGGTGTCTCCTGCAGCCGTGTAGACTGTCACACTGATGAGACAGCTGGGCCCTCCTCCAACACAAGACAACACAGAACACTGGGCTCAGCACCGTCCACGGGCAAGCTCGCCTAGAAGGTGCTCGGCGAGGCTCCCCGGGACCTGCAGGGAGGATCGGCCACAGATGAGGGCGTGGGGGACCCAGAGCCAGGACGGGCCGAGCCAGCGTGCGCCGGGCCCAGGTCCTGAGGATGCCGCTTCAGCCAGAGTCTACGGTATGTATGCGTGTGCATGTGTGCGCGTGTGCACATGCGTGTGCGTGCTGGGCTAAAGTTGTGCCTCAGAACGGTCCCAGCAGGAGGCACGGCAACATCTGGGCTGCCCAGACACGGGGACCCCGGCGCCCCCAGCTCCATCGGTCAGTGCCGAGGGGGAATGAGCACCACTGCTGTTCAGGAGGAAAACAATTCACGCATTTCTTTCTTGAATGTGGGGGACATGGCGAACAGTCACAAAGCTGGTATTAATGTAGCAAAACTCTTTCAGAATTCAACTCTAACAGGTGTTTTTTAAAAGAAGAAAATTTGACATCCTTTTAAAATATTAATATGCCCCTCCCCCCAGGAACAGTTCAAAGCAAAAAGAGAGGAGCTTCTGGGTCCGGCCCCTCCGCCTTCTGGGGTGAATATGCTGAGTGGGTACAACTGCGCCCAGCGTTTAATAAAAGGCATCGAAGCTTATTCATACACATCATGTGTTTGCTCACATACTGCAGCTAAATGAAATGAATCGGAATCGGACACTGATGCTGGTCACACCACAGAGCGAGAAGGAAAATCAGTACACATCCCAGACGCCACTGTGGCCGAAGGTCGCACTCAGGAGGGCCTACGGTCCCTCACGGGTTACGGTAACTGCCTGATGGCGCGCGGCCACCGTCTGCTCTCCATCCGAGGTCCGACGTCGTGGCTTCAGCAGCGCGCCCCTGGTCTCTCGTCCTCGGGGGAAGGAGGAGGCAGCGCACCCTGAACCCGGACTTCACTCCCGAAGCTGCAGGGTCCCGGGGGCCACCACACCGTCCTGGCCAGGGCATCGCCGAGCGCGGCCTACTCCCCAGCAGGGACTGCAGACAGGACCAGCGGGCGCCAGCGCCCAGGGCAGAGGGCAGAACAACGAGGCGGTCCCTTCCTCTTAACCCGCTGGTGTGACTTGCTGTTCTGAGTGCCCGGCTCATGGACTCAACAGGACAGGAGACCAGACACGGCGGTTCAGTGAGCTGGCCCTGCAGACCATGAAGGTCTGGACAGCCTTTCGCTCGACAAAACACCTCCAAACTGCCCCCCGCCCCCCGCCTAGTTCTCATTTCCTGCCGCTCTGTCTCACGTCGCCCACATTTTTCAATAAATTAAACGACAGCAGAGGCTGAGACGGCACAGAACAAGCACGGGCGCACGGACGTGTGTGCGTCCCTTCCCTGAGCACATCTGAACCTGGTTACAATGCAAAGTACTTTTTACTCTGGAGCAAGGCCAGGAAGCCTGAGGGCCCCCAGCGTCCTTACTGGACTCTCGCGGGAGCTGCCTGGGAAACGGGGGGTGAACCCGCGGCCCCGTGAGCGCGTCCAGGTGGGGGTATTACAAGCAGGTGAGGCTCTCAGGCCCACTGCCAGGTGCCTGATCGCCCAGAACCGGGAGAAGAAGGAAACGAGGACACCCGCTGTGGGCAAAGCGAAGCCCTTACCCCTGCGCCCCGGGTACACGTGCGGGTAGTACTCGTAGTAGAGGTCGGGCTGGTCCAGGCTGCCGAAGGGCTCGAACTCCAGCTCCGCGTTCTGGAACAGGCCCAGCTTCACCAGCAGCGCCAGCCGCACGAACCACAGCTGTGCACGTGGAGGCACAGGTCACCGCAGGGTGGACCTTGGGGACGGGCCTGCCTGATCCCCCTCCGCCAGGCACCCCCTTAACTGCTCCGGGTGACCTGTGCCCACACGGAAAGCTCCAGGAGGCAGGAACCCAGGGCCTCTGCGCGCCCCCCTCCCCGCTCCCCTAGACGGCTCTTCCTCTTCACACTAGTTCTGCATCCTTATCCAAGAACTGCTGTTACCAGGGAGAGCAGCCCTGAGGAGGCCGGCCCCTCCCTGTGCCCCACATCCCTGACCCGCCCCAGCCCCTCCCCCAGCAACTCTGCAAGGACACTGGGTGCCCAGCCTCCAGACTCCTGGTCTCGGGACGGAGACAAGTCCAGGTCACACCTGTGTTGTCACAAAGGGGACCAGAGCATTCTCACCCTGGGATTGAATTCAGGGTTCAAAACCCACTTTGTTCCCACTGTTCTTATTGGAACGAAAGGTCCCGGCCCCTCCCATGCCCCCTGATTACAATAAACAACAACCCAGTGCCCAGCTGTACCTGCAGCGAATCTGCCGTGTGGCTGGTGGGCAGCCCGCTCTTGCCGTAGCCTTGGCCGTGGGCTGTGAGGAGGCGCCCGCACAGGTCCACTGCCGCCCTCCAGTTTCTGCTGCTCTGAAAGGCAGAGGCAAGACGGGCCCTCGAGCACCGGGCCGTGTGCTGGACGCAGCGGCAGCGCCAGGTAGCCCGCCCAGCGGAGGCCACCGGGTGAGGCCGAGGTCCTCGCCACACGTCCATCAGGCAGGAAGGGGCCAAGCACGCGACCCAGCCCAGGAGAATGCAAGGACGCCAGCATGTAACTGCCGACGGCCACGGCGAGAACCTGGGGGAAGCTGGCTGCAGCCCACATCCCAGCTGCCCGCCTTTCTCCCAAGATAACCATCTGTGAGCTTTTTCTGCTTCACCTTCCAGTTTAAGATCAACGCTCTAATGGGAGGCTGTGCTGGCTACATGTGCGTGTCTGTGAGGTCTGCATGTGGTGTGAGGAGTTCTGTATGTTTACATGCTTCTGTTATTAACATGAACGCCTCGATGAACTGCACTGCTGCGACCCGTCACAGGCCAGTCTATCAACACAATGCACTTCCGCGCTATTTCCTGCTGAGACTTGAACCACAGGGACACCCGTGCACTAACGAGCCTTCCGTACTAAGTGCAGAAGACAGGACAGTTTAAAAAATAACAAAATTATTTCCCTCTAGACAGTCTATTTGATGAAGCTTATTTAATCCATGTACACTCTGCTTCAAGTAACCCGATCACTTAAAACAACGGCCTTTAGACTAATGGGACTGCACACTGAAAGCGTGTTGATATGATGCTTTTTGCTACACAGGCCTGGTACCGATTCTAACAAAATTCTATTTACGTGCAAGGGCTTTGGAGAATATGTGCAAGGTAATGACTCCAAGGAAAACATCATGAAGGAAGGCAGGACTTATCAAGAAAACACACAACCCTGGAAACCAAACACACTGCTCCTTACAATGAGCTGCTTCAAGCCGACGAAGGACTGCTCCACCGAGCTGGCGTCCGCCACCGTCCTCCGCGCCGCCGCCTTCTCCCCCAGGAAGCGCAGCAGCAGGTCCTTGACGGCATCTCCCTGGGAAGGACGTGCGAGGCAGGTCAGGACAGCGCAGCGTTCCCTAACTCAGCTAAGCAGACATCACCCCGACACCCTTTCTCTATCGGTACGTGCAGGTCACCGTGCAGTTAGGATTCACAGCTTCCCCTGACCCTGACCCTGCCTGGCCTAGGTTAAACCACAGAGCAGCAGCCCTTTCTCAACTCGAGTGCCGAGCGCTGTGCGATGCTGCGGCCGGGGAGTGAGCTTCCGGGCCTGACCCTAACGCCACGTGCAGGCCCCGGTCCTTTTGGCACATTTCCAAACACCCGAGGACCCCTAGTCCCAGCACCCGAGAGCCACCGGGTTAAGGGTTAAGCCACTTCCATGGCACCTTCCATTTCCCAGAATTAC